TTTTGCCGAAATCCCAAATCCCAAATCCCAAATACTAGTAATTTGGGATTTTGGCGTCCCAAATCTCAAATGATTTGAGATTTGGGCAACACGTATAAATCAGATACCATTACTCTCGAACCAGAGCCTTCTAATACGTATGATAAGAATGCAATAAAAGTTATGATAGATGGCATTCATAAAGCATACATGGCAAAGAATGAGAATGTGAGTATAGGAGATTTGATGAAACAATATCCAAATTATCAGATCACCACTTACGGGAAAAAGATCTATAATCAATTAGTGTCTTTAAACCTCGAATATCCTTGGATGGTCTGTGGAAGATGTCGTGATACACTACAAGCATCGAGAGACTATGACTATAGTTATTGGTGAATATAGCGGAGCTAGTGTCTTGACACTTAATTTGAAGTTGGGAGTTATTTATTATGTACAAAAAAATATAATATTATTATTGTGTAAGTATTACTAATATTGGGGAATATGTTTGTTACTTAACAATATAGATCGATAATTTCATCAATATCTGATTTGGATGAGTCATCTTTTTTACTGTTCTATATAATCGATAGTGCTTGAAGATGAGCAATCTCAAGACCAATTATCTTGTACCATGTATTTCAGAAATCTATTAATGCTTCGCACTCTGATTTCAGATTATACCGAAATATATATTCTTCCAAAATCATGATATTAGGCATACATTTTTGTACCTGCATAATTAACCCGTACAATCCATTTCTATATTCTACATTGAGCTTAGATAATTTTGAAAGTAGATCTGATAACTTTAAACGAATAGAATCTGCAATTTTATCTAATGCATTAAGGTAGTCATTATGCCTTGTAGAGATACCTGAGGGCCTGGTTATGTCAACTTTGTTAATACTGGGACATATTTTTTGAACGTATGTAGTAGCATCTTTCCATAAATGGGATATAATAGCTTCTTCTTTTTTAGGACCATCTCGTAAATCTTTGATATATTTTTTTATCCATTTCTCAACTGATTTCTGTGCCAGACCATCCTTTGCTGTCCAGAGTTCATCCGAATCTGTAATATTTTTCAAGAACTCAGAATCAGGTTGTGATTCAAAACAATTATCACTATTTATAAATCTGGCACAGAGTCCAACCACGCTCTTTAGATAATAATTAATATCTATCTTTTTGTTAAGTTTCTTTACCACATCTGGATATTTCATGCGATCTCCCACTTTCTCTGATACCCCCTCCACTACTATATATTCAAAACGCTCTCCAGGTTTTGGGATATTATATATATATAGATTGGGTGATAGTCCCTGTTTTATAAGCTGTTGGGATTCTATCATCTCGCGAGCGTGCTTAGATTTCATTCGAGAGATAAAACATTACACACTTTTATTATTTTTATCAGGCTTCCATGTGGATGTTTTTACACATTCATTTATATCGACTTGGGATAAGTTATCTACAGCGCTTTTAAGAGCATCTTTGACAATTTGTTGCATTGTCCTATTGTTATTAATTTCCATAGATTATTGCATAATGTTTCTACCTACTTTGCGGATAAACTTAGATTGCCCCCGTTTCACAATATCAACACCTCTAATAAAAAGCTTTTCAAAATCTGGGTCAAAGTTAGGTTCTTTTATATGTTGAATATCATAATATTTTTTCTTACCTGTAAATACTACGGGAAATAAGACTTCCTCATATGCCATCTTAAGATAAGTTGATCCATTATCTTCCCTGAAAAAGTCGTTAACATCGTTTCAGAGTTCGCTTATTACCTTCATAGATATTCTCACCATCTCCTCCCAGTATTTTTCCTTTGATATCTTTTCTGAAATGTATTTCTTATCACACTCCCGAAAATATTCTTCTGAACAAACAAGATATAATGAATCAGTATCCCCGTATTTTACGTCAAACCTTTTACTTCTGACAAGGTCAGCAATAAGCTTGATATTTCGTCGACCAGCTGATGTTACTTCACCCGCTAGTTCTCGCAAGAAGAAAGGAGACCCACTACTCACAGCTTCACTGTAAAACGTGTTCATATACACTTTTAAAGCAAGCTGTTTTGCGTCTAAACAAGTAACATTAAAGGCTATTGAAGAATATTCAGAGTTTAAAGCATCTGTAACATCCATACCTCTTGTTTTCACCATACTAATCTCCTTTTCTAATTCTACTTTTTTATCATTTAATGAATCAAGACGTTCTTTTAGTGAATTTCGTCTAATAAGCAACTCTTCTAATACTTTCAGATAAAGGCCTTTCATTTTGGCTCGGTTTTCATGCTATATAGACCATGCAAGAACATCCCGATCATTGAATCTGAAGTTAATTTCATGAAGCCTTTTACCGTTTTCCTTTAGAAATTCAGCATGGTTTCGAGATAAAATTATTTTATTGGGTGAGAGGTTGTATGTCATGATAAGACTTAGGTACAATGATGCAAAATCTAAGCTGATTACAGGATGTCTATTTTCGAGACCCTTTACCAGTGAGAAAACATAGGCTCCAGGGTATTTTCCTGTTTTCATTTGTTCATATGGAATTGTACTAGTTAAAATTCCTTCCTGCCATGCGCTAGTACTTAAAAGATTACGCACTTTCATTCCTACTGCAAAATAATGAGAATCATATAATGATATGAAGGCTACAGATGACACCTCCCTGTACTCGTTAATTGCATTACGCTTTACCATTAACCTCTGACAGCTAATAGCGTCGATAATACAATATTCGGCTACTTCACGTATCTGCTCAGCCGTTGTAGCATTAGTTTCTTTTAAAGCCCTTCTATAATACTTAAACATTCGATGGAAAGGCATATCTAGCTTGTCATCAAGTTTACTCTCTTCTAGGTAATATGCTAAACTACTCTTTTCAGCCTTAGAATAAAATTTCATAAAACATGGTCAGACATCAATTGCCACGCACCCAGGAATTTTAAGATGTTTCGAATAGAAATTCCTATCATTAACTTTTATTGCGTTATATTGGTATTGCCATTTTGTTATTTTTTCGAGGCTTAAAGGCTTTAATGACATTTGATTGAACATCCATTCGAGAACCCCTAACTTTTTCACCTTCTCTACAATAAATCCCCAATTATATTGTAAATCGTTAAAACCTATTTGAATGTCCGGGGCTAAGAGTTTCCAACACAAGGCAGATGCTTTTAATAAATTGGTCTGAGATTTGCATATAATCGTTGTCCACCGCGGGTCTGGCGCAGTTTCAACATCGACAAGACAAATTTGCTTTAGTGGTTTGAGGTCGTCTTTCCAATGAACTGACATGCAGATCATAAATACGTTAGATTCATCGCTTTGCGCAGTAGGGAAATTACCTTGTCTGAGTAAACTATATGTCTCTATGTCCCATGTGAGAATAAGGGTTCGATCCCTTGTGAGCGCTGAAGAAATTAACGGATTGTTATAGTCGTCATTGTTTATTTGATTGTAATTGTTTACAGATACCTGGAAGGAATAAATTTTTAGTGATGGATCCCCGATGTATTTATATGAATAGTTACTTAACACTGCCCAACTTGAAAGAGGTAATTTTTCTTTACGGGCTACTTTGCGATAGTAATACGTAGGATTCAGGTCATCGGAAGCAGTACCAATACCAACTTCACGAACCACTTTTAATGCATTATATCGATCAAAATGATTTCAAGTAGTAACGCGTATATATGATTTCTTTTCTGTATGATACCCTCGAAGTGGAAAAGCGCTAATAGTCTCGATCCCGAATTTCGATGTGCTTTTGAGGGTGTTAGTCAATATATTTATCAATCTTCTCTTAAATACAGATGAGGGGTAAGTTGTGGTCTCAGGTACTTCTATATCAAAGAAGGGTTTGATACCTGTAATATCCACGATTGCTTTTTGCCCATTAATTAAAGCACCACTAATACGTAAAATGTAAGTAGATACCCCTTTTATATATTCAGCTTCATCACCCACATCCGTAGGCATGAAATGTATAGATCGCTTGGCGGATAGACTTTGTTGAAGTACAGCGGTCATTTCGTTATTGAATTCAGTCGCAATATCATTACGAGATTGAACCCCTTCTATGCTTTCCCCACCCCCATACCTGATGCTTTGTGCGTTTTGTGTTTTCATTTTTTTATTGGTATGTATCAATCTTTGTTCGATTATATTATTACATTATAGTTTGAAAAAGTTAAATTAATTTTTTCATACTTGGTACACAGTGATATAAAAATTGCATCGAGTATTGGCGAGAAAATCGTTAAAAAAGTAGTATCCAGTATAAGGATAACAGGTAGATAACTTCAGATTTATTATATAATAATTATAGAAGAAGCCTACCCATTTCGATGGTATATTTTTGGGTATGCCTCCAGGATAGGTAACTTCAGTAATATATTATAAGAAAAATGGAAGAAACCTACCCATTCCCGTGATATGTTTTCGCATATATTTGGTGGTACATTTTTGAGTAGGTAACTTCAGTAATATATTATAAGAAAAAATGAAGAAGCCTACCTATTCCCGTGATACGTTTTCGGGATATATAAGTTCAGTAACTCTACATAGTAGAGAGAAAAATGGGAGTTATATACCCATTTCGATGATACGTTTTTGGGTATGTGGTCAAGGTAGGTAACTTCAGTAATATATTATAAGAAAAACAGCAGAAACCTACACTTTTTTATGATATATTTTCGGATATATGTCAAGGTGGGTATCCATTATTTTCTCATAATTCTTTTTCGTACATTTGATCGAAATTTATCATAGTATTTTCTAATATGTGATGTACAATGACCAGGAGTTGAAACAGTTGGTATACCACATTTAATACATGGTATTATTTTTTCGCCTTTCCAAAGATTACATTCCTCAAGTATTGTACAAGTGTTTTCACAAATTTCACCAGGATCATGACCGAATAAACAAGTACATTCACGCGTCATTTTTTATTATATTAAAATACAAATTTTTAGATGATAAAAATGCAACTAAGACGTAACTAGGACGCAACTTGGCAACATACTTGATGGCAATTACATGGCATAGGGCACATACATATTCGATAGCATACACTCTGGCTATTTGCCCACTCGAATGACGACACGCGACTGAATGCATCGTCAGTATATTTTTTTACCCATGTGGCCCGATGATGAAAATTGGCCACAATTACCAAACCGGCATATAGTATGTCGCATGTGGGTGACGACAAAAATTTGCCACGATCATCAAGCCACGGCATGTTGTGCCTATCCTCAGCGCATGCCACAGTGGCTCCTGAATGACGATGCAATGCAATCTGCACATCACCTGAATCATTAAAGGGAAGCAAATATCAGACTTATTAGAGGTCAAAACGGGTAGCTACACCAACTTGCCAAAAGTATCCGGGCAACAATTTTTTTGTCAAATTTTTAAAAAATTTTAAGGATGAATTATAGCACAAGTAATG